GCAGCGCATCGAGAACACAACAGATTTTCTCCACTTGTCTCGTCTGACCATGTAGCTCTATTTCTCCACTCACAATCTGTTTGCACATGCACAGACAACGGACATTTGAACACCCACCTCCCAGAGAAACACACAAACACGTGCCTGCACTCACACACAAAGCCACACACACACACACAAACCCCCGCCCTGCCAAGCCTAGCAAAAATAACCTCCACAAACACAAGACTTGTGTCTGTTTGTCTGGGAAGAGGGATATTATTGTCTGTCTCTCCCCTGCTCCTTCCAAGTGCACTTTTCAAGGTGCAGGGCTTGGTATCTCCATGGCAACAGCAAAGCGACCATGAGCAGTGGGAGGGAGGAGGTGGTGGGCGGTGGGGATGGAGGCAGGGGAGAGGGGCGACGTGGTGATAATGGGGATGATGTTGATGTGTGAAGGGGGGTTCCTGTGGTCACAGATAGGCTTGCTGGGTACATAGACTTGGGAACACATTTTCATGTGTTGTGGTGATGCGGACTAAAGGCAAACAGGGTGTGGCTTTTCTTCTGGAGATGTGTGTGTGTCTGTGTGTGTGTTTGTGTGTGTTTGTGTGTGTGTGTTCCCAAACAGCCCTGTGGAGATCTATGCACTGAGAGCCCAGGTGTGATCTCGATGCTTGGTGAAAGATGACCTCTCACTGTACAACACACACACACACACAGACACACACACACACACTGTTTCTCTCAGTGGAGGGTCAGTGTCAGTGTTTGTATTGCAGAGACCTCCAGGTATTATTGGACAGTGTTTGCATCTGCATGTGTCCATGCTGGCCCAGATATGTCCACCCCTGTACATTTTTCTCCTCTGCCTCTCTCTCTTTTAACCTTTAGTCCTCTCTAGTTACTTTTGGCTGTCTCTCCATCTTTTGTCCAACATCTAGATTCCCTTTTTTTCAAGCCTGATTCTCTATCTGGATCTTTTTCAGTCTGAATTTTTGTTGCTTTCCAGTTTGCTACATAGGGCCTCTGCAGGTGTAGCATTTCTGCAGCCAGGTTCAACGATAAAAAATAAACTTCCACACAAGTTTAACAGCTGAGTTAAAGGTGAGGCATGATGTTGAACCAGATTTGTAAAGGACATTTGTCAATTTTACACTAGTGTTTTAATTTACACTATTTTCTTTCTGTACATGAAAAAAAAAGTGGACCTCATAGGCATATGTGGTGGACAGTAAACTCCCTCAATGATTTATGTTCAGTGTCAGCGCAGGAAATAGTGTGATGTTTATTGCAGTGAAAAGTAAAGTTGTGGAGGTTAGGATATAGGAGGAGTATAATTTTTCCTTCAGCACTCGGTTCGTGCAGTGTCTCATGCTAGTTGCGAGCACTTGAATTTTGTTATGACCTTGTTCTTTTCCTAACCTTAATAAAGTGGTTTCATTTGCCTAACCTCAACCATTCTTTAGTCGCCATGCACAGATTTAGAAAAATAATCAAGTATAAACCACAGGCTATGAACATTGTGCAGTGAGTAACTAACACACTGTCTGGTATGTTGACAAAATACCAAACTAATTGCATTTTAGTGATGCTAAATAGTTGCAAATGAATGCAATTTGCAGGTGATACGGTCGACAGAGTTTACGTTCTAAAACGACGCAAGTTATAACAAAAAGATTAAACTGATCTAAGTCGAAAGAATTGAAAGAAACAAGCTTGCATTCAGAATGGCTTCACTCCTACTACATTGCTGGCATACAAGTCCTGAATAGTGCATAGTAAGAGACTGGATGATTCAAGAGACGGAGGTGGAAATTTATTCAGTCTGCTCTCCAGAGCTTCCTGTAAAAGTTCAGTGATGATGTGGCAATTGAGGAATCCCTGGAGTTTCACTTTATCCAGTAGTTTATGAAACCACTCCTAATGAGGGGGCATGGCCATCACAGAATAGAAGAAAATCAAGAGTCAGTGTTGACGCCACAACGTGAACCAATGGAGTGTATATATGGACATACAGTCTGTGATATCAATCATGGTTTCCTGAAAGGACAATTTTTAGGCCTTAGTGTTGATTTACTGCAATTTACTGAGAAAAGTGCTGTAAGGACAACTGGAAAAAAGTTTGATGCCACCTCACATAAAACATATTTTGATAGACGATTCTAATTTCATAACTAGCATTAGAGCCCTCCAAGATCAACTTTGTGTTTAGCATTTTGTTAAATGTCAAGAGTGGATTAGGCTGCAGTAGAAGTTAATTTCAAGTCAACATCAACACCAAAGGCTCAAGGGTATCTCCACTGTCTAAACTCATAAATATTATCTGCTCAGTCATTATAACCAAAGGAAAGTTCATGCAATATATATAGTCATAAAACATAAAACCAGCTCAATATTGACATGTCAGTCTATGAGCAGGGAAGAACAATTATTCACATTTGTTCCAATAAATTCACGACAGTTTAGAACTGAGGCTTTTTAACCAGGAAATAATGATAAAATTACAATTCTCCAACAGCTGATGGCAAGGCCACCAAGACAATTAACACTTATTTAGTCACATATTCACAATTTTTAAATCCCTGTGGCTTCACATTAATTATTAGATAACATTTCTTACAGTCTGCCTTTGGGTTGCAAGTAAGCTACACTACGCTAAGCTAACTGAACTGTGCAGAAACATCATCAGTGGGCCTCTGCTCTTAGAATATAAAGACTCTTTGTCATTGAAATTAAACAGTGCTTTTCACTTTGCTGCGCAGAGAGAAAAAGATTTAATATTTTTTGCTTTGGACATTTTTAACTTTTTTTTCCACTTATATTTAAATAAATGATCAATTGAAAATAATCAACATATTAATCAAAATGGAAAAATAATTGTTAGTTTCAGCCCTTTTAGGAATTTGAGCAGTGTTGACTTTAGTATGATGTGATATGCATTAAAACGTATCCAGCATTGCAGGAGCAATGTTGATTGATCTCCCATTTGTATTTAGAGTGAATGGCAAAACAAAACCTTTAAAAAATCCTTTCACTGTCAACCAAAAGCCCTTGCAACTCAGATACAAACAGCATGCTACGTGTCTCTCCGTCATTTATACACAGCAATATGGCTAAGTAGAACAGAAGGACCAGTTGTCAGTAAGTTGTCTGACATAGCAACTGTAACTAAGGGTGTGTGCATCTTAGGAGCTGTCAGTTATTATCAGCTGACAAACAAAAAATGCTTAGTTTTCACCAAACTCAAACTCTTCAATTAAATGTAAATATATTTGTAAATCCCTAACAGTAAAACATCTACTGCACCTGTCAACTATTTATTATTTATTTTTCCATCGTTAAAAAACAGTTTATTAAAAAAATATATATAAATACTATCGTTCAAGCATCTGCCTATGCTGTGCATGCTGCACATACTGTATATACTGTCATTTCCACCCACCTCATGTACATTAAAAAAATCTGCACGTAAGTTTTTATTTCAGCTTTGCACTCTGCACCTTTAAACTACTGTCTACAAATGTTATTGTTTTTTTGTTTGTTTATATATATACATAGTAGTTTATGTCTATTTTGTTGAACTTGTCCTGTTTATTTATGCCGTTAGTCTGTTTTTGTACATTGAGAGCAACATAAAACCAGAGTCAAATCCCTTGTATGTGTGCACAAACCTAAGTGATCTTGATTCTTGATTGGTTAAGATTAATCAACTTTAAAACGAGCCCCCACGGCCCCCAGCAAATCACTAATGTATCTCTGTCAATGAGCTTAACCACATGCTTGACCACTTGTTATGATGTCAAAGGGTCACTCATTATTATGCAGTTTTTCATTGTTCTGCTGTTTGTTAATGTCACACTGCTCTGCTATATCTTTTACAGTTTGTGTTGCCAGTGTACATGCATGCTGACACTATTTTTCTTCTCTGGAGCTTGTTTATTGCTTTGTACAGCCTTGAAAATGGGTACAAAAGTGAAAACCAACAGAAACCAAATACTATAAATAAAATCAGAGCTTTTTTTTTTTAACTTGACATACTGCTAATTGGGACTCAACAGAGTCACCTTAATACCTGATTTCGGTATCACTTCAAAGATACTTGTCAGTTGTTGTTTTAGATGTATTTTACTTTGTCCCTGTTATTATTGTGTTGTATTCTTTTAAAAAGAAAAAAAGAAAAGAAAAAGTTAAGCAAAAACAAAACTGTGATAATATAATTGGTTTTGTTCATATCAAGTTGTATGATGGCCTTATGCTGCTCATCAGTGTTTACAACAATGTAAGATTAGTGGTCAAGAGGGGTAAATGATGTGCTAAATGAGGGCAATGCAGGTTAGGGCTAGTAAGACTTCTCTTTTTTTCCTGTGTGTGTAAATTGGACCCTTGGGCCCTTGCAAAAACTGAGTGCGTTTCGGGCAGTCGGCCACACGGGGCGCTGCCGCTCGAGGACGCTTGACGGGGTATCCAAAGTTTATGCAAGGCTTGCAGCACACCGGGGACCGGCGGTGGGGAGAGTTGAACAGTAGTTTTGATCCCAGAAAAGAGCGGCCAAGTTGCAAAAAATCACTCAGTGGAGGTGTGATAAAGCAGCATGCTCGTTAATTCCACTGCATTTGTTGTCGATGCGAGCTGTCAGCGGGCCTGTCTGTCTGTCAGTCAGTCCGCAGCACGGCCAGCGCTCTCAGAAATATCCTCTCATCACACACACACACACACACACACACACACACACACACACAAGCATAGGGCGCGTGTGGGCGCCCGGTGTGTGCGTGGTTTGTGTGTGTGCTGTGGGGAGTTTGTCAGAGCAACTAAAAGTCCAATAGTGGGGGAAACACGCAACCCATGAGAAGAGAGAGAGAGAGAGAGAGAGAGACGAGAGAGCGAGAGGGAAGTTGCGAGAAAGAGAGAGAAACATAGAGGAGGAAAGAGAAGGTAGGACGGAGGTTGAAAGTGAGAGTGTGGATGTGGGAGATGAGAGAAGAAGACGACGCGAAGGAGAACTGAGCAGAGAGAGAGAGACCTCGGCGGAGAGGAAGAGAGAGAGAGGGGAGGAGAGCTCCGTCTCTCCCGGTGCACTTGGCAGTCTAGTTGCGGGCTGCTGTGCTGTTGCTGTCGTGGCGTGGCTGGTCGCGCCAGGCGGGGAACTTCACCACACTGGAGCCCGGAGTCCCACTCTCTCACCTGCGCAGTTCGGAGCTGCCATGGGTCTCTCGCCTGGATTTACTGTCCTAATTATTCTACCGGCCTTTCTGCTGCACACCAGCGGCCTTTACATCGCCAGTAGCGTTGGTACGTACAGTACAGTTAAACGTGGTCAGTGTTTATGTTGTTTCTACGTATCTGCTGATCTCTCATCAGCAGGGCTGCACGGGGCTCTTCACGCGCTCAACTGAAAGTCTGGAGCTCTAACGCAGCGGCAAAAAAAAAAAAAAAACACTGTCCGGTTTCCCCTTGTGTTTTTAATCTTTGGCATGCTTTTTGCAGTTTTTGCAAACAACATTGCAGGACGCGTTTACAACTTCTGTGTGTCCTGCTTTGGTGTTTGCAGGGTCTTTCCGGAGGTTCCTCAGCGGTGCAAGCAGTGTTGTGATTTGCTTTCTCCCATCCGCGGGATAATGTTATCTGGGGTGTCAAGGGGCATCAGATGCACCAGTTTACTGTCGGATTTTGCAGGGAAGTAACCTAACATTATCTGATTCGGCCGCTGTCGCATCTATCGATCTGTCACAGGACGCTGGAGTCGGATGTCAGCTTATTGATCACACTATTATCAAATCATTCCTCTAACACGGGGGCTCAAGAAATATTAACAGTGTGAGTTAGGTTTGTATACAGTCAGCAAACTTTATAAATAAGATATGACAGATGGATAACATAATAATAATAATAATTTATTATTATTATAAGTGCACTTGAGGACCACGTAGCCTATAAGCTGATAAAATAACTGTCTCTGACTGTGATGACATTGACACCCTAAAGTGGCCTTGGCTCAGTGTGTATCCTTGTGTGTGTGTGGGGGGGGAGCATCTCTTAGGTCGCCTTCAAAACGCACCTGTGTTGTGACTGTCAACAAAAAAAATGTTCTTCAATGCAAAACAATGTCAGACGCGTTAACTGCCTTTTAGGTGTGAATTCAAAACGTGTGCCTTTGACTCATAGTGCATAAATTAGCATGTAGTTAAGATACAGTAATGATAATTGATCATGGTGATGATCGGATCAATAATTCCAATGTGCATGATAGTCATTATATTTATAAGAATGTCAGTTTCATTTGGCGGATCAGTATTTTTGTACAGTCGGTGTCGAGGTTTTAGAGATATTTTTTCTCGGTTCTGCAGCCTGACAGTGAGAAAGCAGCGTGAGAAAGCCGCAATTAGCATCTTGATCTTGTACTGGCTTTCCTGTTGGCGGTGGAAGGGCACAGAAGGTGTCAGGAGCGCAGCGCGCACTGCTGAGGCTGCCGTTTCCAAACGCGCACTGCCGAGCACCGGGGTCGCCTCTGGGTTCATGGGTGGGGCTGTGTGTGTGTGTGTGAGAAAGGTTACTGTTTTTATTTCTTTTATTTATTATTGTGCTTCTTGTGACGCAGAATCAGGAATAAACAATTCCATGCTTGACATTTTTCTAATTCCTTATTTTTCCCCCCCACCTCTTTTTTCCATCCTCCCTTCAACCCTCTATCCATGACTCCCCATTTTCTCCACTGTTTTTTCCCCATGCTTCTCCCATGACGTCTCCTCCTCTCCCCCTCCTCTTCAACCTCTGATGTTCTTCCTTCCCACCCTTTTCCACATTTTCACATCTTACTCACCAAAATAACATTGTTTCCCTATCTCACCTCCTCCTGCCTCACCCCCCTCCCCCCTCAACTCCCTCCCTCTGAACTGTCCTGTTCCCAGACTCCCTGCAGCATGTCCTGGGGGAGTATGGACTGGTGAGGCCGATCAGTGTGGACGCAGAGGGCCGCTTCCTGTCACACGCCGTCTCGGCTGGTCGCATGGCAGGTGGACAGCCCCGTAGGCGCCGGAGGAGGGAGGTAGGAGTAGGCAATGATGAGTGGGAAGAACCAAGAGGAGAACCCGTGGCCTATCGGGAAAGGCTTTTCTACAACGTCACTATCTTCGGCCGGGAGTTCCACCTGCGCCTGCACCACAATGCCAGGCTGGTGGCCCCCGGAGCCAAGATGGAGTGGCGTGATGACAGCGACAGCACCCGGCACTCTGAGCCACTGCACGATGAATGCTTGTATGTAGGTGACATCACAGACACACCAGGGGCCACTGTAGCCATCAGCAACTGTGACGGCCTGGTGAGTGGACAACCCATGTTATCTGTGCTCTGCTCTTATCCCTCTTACCACTGTAGGGTTAACTGAGCCTGCTGTAAGGAGACCTCTGTGTTAAAATATAGATATGACGTTACAAACAAATAGCAAAAGCAGGAGATTTTTGCCCCTTGACCCTGTCGCCGTCCCTCATGAGTCTTTCTGGTTGACCCCATAGCTCAGAGGTTGTCATGGGGTCAAACTTATGATTTACACTGCTGTTCTCCCTGGTGTCCTCTACACTGGTTGTAACACCAGGCTTTCCATGAGAAATACCTGAGTCATGTTTTCATCCCTCTGTCCTCTGCCCCTTTTAGTTTACTCATGTAAAAAGGGGGGAGGGATTATTAAAGGAGCACACTGATGTTTCACAGATAACCCATCGGTATTTATGACTACATCTCAGCACAATGTGTTTTGAATAACATCAAACTCTCTTGTACTGCTCACTTCACATAGATACAGAAGCACTGGACAAATACCTGACACTAAAGCAGCATTTGAATTGAAGCTGCCACCATATAATATTTTGGTTGCACAACAGTTGTTCAAAGAGCCTGAATTGTAGATGCTTTTAATAGAGCTGACAATGAATAGAGGAAAAAGAAAAGAGATGGCAAACAGTTGGTGAATGGCTGTCGGCAAGGGAGAGAAGTGAGATATAGACAGTGTGAAGAATGTGCACAGGAGCTGCTGAGATGAGAGGATGCAGAAAGATGGAGACCAGTGCCTGAGGACGAGGTGTAGGGGCCAGTGCGAGAGATAAAAAAGTAAAAAGGAGTAAAAAGGCAAGAGACACGTATAGGGGATGATGAGATTGGGGGGAGGAGTTCCCCTCATTAGGAAAAATGTTCATTAGTCAGCCATATAAGCCTACCACTGGAGCTGAGTAGCAGCGACTGGATCCGTTTAGGGTTGAGGACACAGGGGACTGAGCAAGCAGCTGAGAGAGCAGGCAGGCAGCCAGGACAGCACAGGCCTGACATGCCCACTTAGCCTGACACCAGCCAGCAGCAACTCACTGCTGCTTGCTCCAGCCTGTCATTCCAGAGGCTATTGGCAATTTCTAGGAAAGGTTATTGTCAAAGTGTAATTGGTTACAGTTTACAAATCACCAGTTAGCACTGGCCACTGGTTTGTTGAATGTCTGACTGGCATGCCAGGCATGCCGTGGATTTTAAAGACTAGATTCACATGTTTTCAAGTCTGTCTTACATACCCTAAAATATTTGTCCACAATTTGTCACAAAGAGATCCCTTCCTTATGTGACTCCAATTAGGGACAATCCACACTTCTCCTTATATACAGAAATCCATTCTTAAAGGTATCCTCTATAGTCTTTTACCACTAGTAGTGCTATAGAGCAATGTTTTCCCATTTTGTTTGCTTCATGCACATGCACAAGGATTAAAACTCATGCACATGAGCATGCGGGTGACGCAATACACATTCCTCCCGTCAGTTTTACGTTATTCCAGTTGGTGGTGGTAACATAGCAGTGCGCAAAGGCCAGGAAGAAGATGATCGCGAGCTAGCAAAATATGTAATAAAAGTAATAGGCTTTGAAAAACACTGAATGTAAACATAACTCTTTTTGTGCACAGGGGCCCTTTAAGCAAAGTGAAGGTAATATGAGACTTGAGCAACTGGAGAGAGATAAATCAGTGGGTATCTTCCAAAGTTATAGTCTTTTTAGTACATTCTCTATTTATTATACTGTCCCTCTACTGCAACTCAGCAAGAAAACACTTGAACAGAAGAACACACAGAGAATTTCATGTAGTTTTTGAAAATATTCACTTTATACTGGCTTCAATTAAACCTAAGAATACATTTTTGCACATATAACCAATGTAACCAATGAATAACCAAAAACTGTTCCAATATACAAACAGTATAGGCATGTGACTGTTGTTTTATGACTTTAAACAATATGAAGCTATCCTTCAAAATCATATTTGTTGAGAGTTTTTTTTTGCTGAAACATATGTAAGTACAATACTTAAAATTACATTACTTTACATATTTAACCCCCCATAAATATGTAAATGTTGTATTGGTGCTGTATAGTCTCACCAAACAGTGAAAAAGAAACTTGTAATAATCATATTAGTGTTGTCATAGTGCTGTCTGCTTATATTTCATTTGCTTCTCCCCGCCCCTGAACAACACATGTCATTACTAATCAATTCTTACAACCTCCTCAGGCATGCCAAGAAATACAGCCAAGCCCTGTCAGGCTCTGCCCGCATCTGCCTTTTTAAACCCAGCAGAGCCACGTAGCGCAGCTCTGCCCTGCTGTGCCCACTTCCTCAGTGACCCAGACACCTGGTTAGAGCCTTTTTTGCCCTGTGTTGCCATTCATAGCCAAGAACCTCTTGCTGGCTGTGATCCAGGGTGTGTGGTGAGAGGAAGGAGGGAGGACAGGGGCAGATAGGGTTCAAACCAAAATACAAAAATAAATAAATAAAAATAATAAAAAGGGAGAGGAGGGGAATTGAAGAGGGCAAAGGGTATAGATTTCAAGGAGTAGCAAATGACCAGAATAAATAAGAGAGGATGAGAGAGCACAGGAAAAAAGGAAAATCTCTGAATGGAGAAATGACCTTTGGAGGGAATTGGATTTCTGTGGACAGAAGCTGTGATCAGCTGGTTAGTCCTTTGGATGGTTGAGAGGAGGCAGTGCACAGTTCAGTGGTGTACATAGTGTGCTGTGTGTGTCTTTGTGTGTGTGTACATGTGTCTTTACTAAATCGGTGCAGTGCAAAATGAAATTAAACTACAGCTGAGACTGTGTTTCGGTGTGTGTGTGCAGAGTGCAGAAAGGGGGACTGCATGAATCAAACAAAAGCTTAGCAGGTTTCCACTTCATGCATGAATGTTGGTGTGTACAGTGTAGGTATGTGTATGTCTGTGAACACCTATTTGTTTATTTGAATCATGCTAAATGAAAGGTGTAAAAAACTAAAATGAACTTAATTTAGAAGAATTGTTTTAGGTTGTTTTGGTGCAACATTAAGGCTATCCTCTGCTATATTAAGCTTGCATGTTGGATAAAGCTAAAGTTTTGTTGAACTTTATTCTTACAAAATTCTGTCTTATAGTTGAACTGTAAGCAGCCATTTTAGCATAAAGGTAATAGGAAGAAACACCTACAGGATTAAACGTTGAGTCAGTTTTATTCCTGTAATGCTTCAGGATCTATGAAAATTTGGAGAAAGCAGGTTGGTTTAAGTATGGTAGTCTTCATGGAGAAGCTTGCTAACAATGGTGGAAATTTGCTGTTATGTTTTTTCCAGCAAATCTCAATTCCTAAACTTAAATTCTGCGTAAATGTATTATTCATGCATGTATGTCTGCATGTGTGTGTGTGTGTGTGTGTGTGTGTCTGGCCCCACTTGTGGTCTTTCCTTAGGCCTCACCTACAGTATTTGTACAGAGATGTGGAGGCCTTTAGCTGTGTTGGCCTGATTTTGTGCACATGTGGGTGTGAGGTCAGGTGCATTCATGTGTGTGTGTGTGTTTTTGGGATCTTATGTGGAATGTGAGTACCAGCATACCTCCAGCTTTTCCTACAGATACAGAGAGACATAGGGATGGGAGATCAAAATTATGGCTATTCCATTTTTTACATGATAAATAATTCTGAAGTAGTCATCCTGAAGTAGTCAAGTGGGAACTGTCACACTGTTCACAGTGTGCTTACACTGTTTGTGGGTAGCACAGTCAAACTCTTGGCCAGAGATGAATTAATTTTCACTTTGGAAGTTTATTCATTTTTATCATATAAATCAGTGTCACCCGTCCCTCTCCACTAAAAAATATGTTTCTCTTCTTGTTCCTACAGTCAGATGTTTGGGCTTCACTGTGCAGAATGATATATGTGCAGTCTGATACTAGAAGGATGTTATCACATTAATCTGCTGAAAGTGTAAAAGTTTCTCATCAGGGCCTAAGAGCATGATTTGTGACATCACAAATAGTTTGGAAGTCAGTCCTGGTCCAGTACACAACTTATACAATTGTGATGTAGAAACCCAAAGCGAATGGACTTTATAGTGAAGTAGTCCTGTGTCCAGCAGGAAAACCTTAGAAATGAACAAAATGTGCATATTTATAGATTGTGGATTTTTTAATGAAGTAGAAAGAGTACATGCCTTTTTAAGGATTTTAGGGTGGAAACTATACTTTCTTGTGGAAAAAAAGCATTTCAGACACACATTATTGTTCCAAACAGATGGTTTTTATATGTCGTAATACCGGTCTGCAGGAGATCTTTAAGATTTTTGGATTTTCATGAAAGTCGATTCTTCTTCTGTTTATGAGCCGTGTTTCCTAGAGCATAGTCATGTTCTTCCTACACAGTGTTTAGCTTCCCCTCACCCAGTCATGATTAAACAAGGTGAAGTGGTCTCATACTTTAAGTAGCCAAAAACACAGACAGAAACAGAAATTCTGTTGAGTGATTAGAATTTTATTTGATCAATTCTAAACTTGATAAATTCATTCATATTCTAAACTGAATGCTCAGCATGCATCAATGTGACCCAGCAAAAGTTGAAAAAGAGAAACTGGGTAAGACAAAAAAGAATTGTGAATGGAAGATCTTCAGAAACATGCAAAAAGTAAATTGGAAAAGTGTGTATAGCTGGAAGGTAATAGAATGATATTCTTTTAAGTCACAAAACATCTTCCACCTGGATGTACTTAACGTTCAAACAAAAGCATAAACTGCCACAGAAAAACATAAATTGTGATGTTTAATAAATACTGACACACACACACACACACACACACACACACACACACACACACATATAAACTCATACTCTCATTGTAGTCCTGCACATCCAGATATCTATCTCTAGTGTGAGGCATCCAGTCTTCCAGATGGGCCACAGCACCTGAGATAATCAGTGAGTTCTGACAAATGGTAGGGCAGCTTCAGGTAACTGTGGGAACAGAGGGTCACACAGGTGTATGG